TAAGTTAGTTTCTGAAAAAAATTAGAGTTTAGAAACTTACCTTGGTGATTGTTCTGTAAATGCTGCAAGAGTTGATTGAATGGGATGTCTTTGTCTTTAGCAAGCTCCAGGGTTGGTGTCAGCTCGTGTGCAGCTGGTCTCTCCTTAACAAACATCAGGTTTTCTCCATTGTTGCTCATGTTCTCCTCTTGCACAATTTGAGTTTCTCCTTCTACTAATGGGACAATAGTCTTCTCTTCTGGCGGCAAAATTCTTTTGAAAAAATCTTGGGCCACATGTATGGGATTTGTTGCTTGAGGTGGAGATACATCAGGTGGCTTTGGCGCCTTGTAATGTTGGTATGGCTCGTTTGACAAGCTGGTTGCTTCAGCTTTTCTCCTTTCAAGGTGTTCAAGGTGAACATAGCTTTCAGTCCTGAATGCATTGAAGGTTTCAGTCAAGTTGGCAATGGCAGCCAGTATTGCATGAATAGGGTCAGCTGGTGCATTCTCCATTGTTGTACCTTGCAAAAGATTAAAGAAAACAAATCAAAGATATGTTTAAATCAAAGCAAAAAAATCAGGATGTGTTTTAAATGAAAGCAAAGTACAAAAACAAGCAATTAATCAGATTTCGACCAGTTGAGGAAAAATGATTGTAAAATTTACCAAATGGATCGAAAATTCAAAAGGAATATTTTTATGTGGTTTTTAAGAGTTTAATGTAATAGAAACAAGAAACAAAATATTTTTTTGAGTTTTTCTGGATTTTATAAAAATCGAACAAAATGAAGAACACATAATTAAGCGGTTTTGACCAATTGAATTGAAAGATCAAAACAAATTATCAAAAGATCCGAATAATTTTGGTAAAATAATTTTTTTGTGTGTTTAAGAGATTAAATAAACCGAAACATAATTCAAAAATAATTTTTTATGGATTTTTAGATTTTATAAAATTTGGGAAATGAAGAACACAAAAACAGAAAAATTTCTTTTGGGTTTTCTAGGTTTAATTAAGAACAATATGAAACGAAATGAAACAAAAACAGAGATAAAGGTGAGAATACACATGGGATAGGAGCTTTTAGCTCTGATACCAATGATACAATACTTGAAATGTGGTTCAAGTAAAGCTTCTTTGAATCTTTGCTTCTAGCTTAAGGGGATGGAAGGATGACTTGAATGGTTGAAAGTCAGGTTGAGCTTGATGACCACAAACTCCAAAGGTTAGATTCTTCTCAGCTCAAGGGCTAATCCTCACAAGAGCTTAGGAGATTCTACACTTCTCACAAGTTCTTTGAATCCTTCAAAAAGAACTTAATAAAAAGCAGGAACAATTTGTATGCAAAGAGGTACTTTTCTTTGAAACAAAAATAACTTTCTTTGATTGATAATTTCGTGGTGATGAAAATACAATGTAATGAGCTTATATAAGGCTCAAATTAATGACATAAAACGGTCATAAACATAAAAGAAAGCATAAAATTTGGTGTAAATCAAAGACTAGCTGTTTTGGCTTTAAGGGGGAAAATGATGGATTTGTTAAGTAGCTTGATTTGGGGGTATGAAGGGTGGGAACGAATCTTGAGTCTTCAGAATGGTTTGAATGGCCAGAATCTCCTCTTATGAATGTGGGGTTGAGATTGAATGGTATAAGTGGTCGTTGGTCAGCCTTTCCTTTGAGAACCAAGTAATTGAATCCGAATATGGCAAGTTCTTTCATGATGATATCTTCTTGGTTTTGAGTTGGTTTGATGGGGTTAATGACTTGGTTTGGTGGTCTTCCTTCTTTGGTAACTCCTTGGGACGCCAAATAATGTGGTTTGACATAAGGTAAGGTCGAGCTTTCCTTAAGTAGTCTTGATAATGCATATGTAGGTCCATTCATGCAATTTGGTGGTTTGGGCGGTTTAGCTTGATCCTCTTCCAATTTAAACTGAACCAAGGGTGGTTTGTCTTGTATAATATGTCCTCCTTGATGTATATATCCTCCTTGGTTCGTCACATATTGTGGTAAGTCTTTATCTCCTTGATAAACAGCTACATGTCTCCTTTGCTCCTTATCTACAAGCTTGGCCCCTTCAGGTTTAGCTTCAAGGCTCCTTCTCTTGACTGGTTCAGTGGTGTATGGTTTGATGCTTACATCATACTCTCCTTCTTGAAGAGGTTTTGTCCTCAAAACATTAGTACCTGCATCAAACAAGGCTAAGTTAGTTTCTGAAAAAAAATTAGAGTTTAGAAACTTAGCTTGGTGATTGTTCTGTAAATGCTGCAAGAGTTGATTGAATGGGATGTCTTTGGCTTTAGCAAGTTCCAGGGTTGGTGTCAGCTCGTGTGCAGCTGGTCTCTCCTTAACAAACATCAGGTTTTCTCCATTGTTGCTCATGTTCTCCTCTTGCACAATTTGAGTTTCTCCTTCTACTAATGGGACAGTAGTCTTCTCTTCTGGTGGCAAAATTCTTTTGAAAAAATCTTGGGCCACATGTATGGGGTTTGTTGCTTGAGGTGGAGATACATCCGGTGGCTTTGGCGCCTTGTAATGTTGGTATGGCTCGTTTGACAAGCTGGTTGCTTCAGCTTTTCTCCTTTCAAGGCGTTCAAGGTGAACATAGCTTTCAGTCCTGAATGCATTGAAGATTTCAGTCAAGTTGGCAATGGCAGCCAGTATTGCTTGAATAGGGTCAGCTGCTGCATTCTCCATTGTTGTACCTTGCAAAAGATTGAAGAAAACAAATCAAAGATATGTTTAAATCAAAGCAAAACAATCAGGATGTGTTTTAAATGAAAGCAAAGTACAAGAACAAGCAATTAATCAGATTTCGACCAGTTGAGGAAAAATGATTGTAAAATTTACCAAATGGATCGAAAATTCAAAAGGAATATTTTTTTGTGATTTTTAAGAGTTTAATGTAACAGAAACAAGAAACAAAATATTTATTTGAGTTTTTCTGGATTTTATAAAAATCGAACAAAATGAAGAACACAGAATTAAGTGGTTTTGACCAATTGAATTGAAAAATCAAAACAAATTATCAAAAGATCCGAATAATTTTGGGAAATAATTTTTTTGTGTTTTTAAGAGATTAAATAAACCGAAACAAAAATCAAAAATAATTTTTTATGGATTTTTAGATTTTATAAAATTTGGGAAATAAAGAACACAAAACCAGAAAAATTTCTTTTGGGTTTTCTAGGTTTAATTAAGAACAATATGAAACGAAATGAAACAAAAACAGAGATAAAGGTGAGAATACACCTGGGATAGGAGCTTTTAGCTCTGATACCATTGATACAATACTTGAAATGTGGTTCAAGTAAAGCTTCTTTGAATCTTTGCTTCTAGCTTAAGGGGATGGAAGGATGACTTGAATGGTTGAAAGTCAGGTTGAGCTTGATGACCACAAACTCCAAAGGTTAGATTCTTCTCAGCTCAAGGGCTAATCCTCACAAGATCTTAGGAGATTCTACACTTCTCACAAGTTCTTTGAATCCCTCAAAAAGAACTTAATAAAAAGTAGGAACAATTTGTATGCAAATAGGTACTTTTCTTTGAAACAAAAATAACTTTCTTTGATTGATAATTTCGTGGTGATGAAAATACAATGTAATGAGCTTATATAAGGCTCAAATTAATGACATAAAACGGTCATAAACATAAAAGAAAGCATAAAATTTGGTGTAAATCAAAGACTAGCTGTTTTGGCTTTAAGGGGGAAAATGATGGATTTGTTAAGTAGCTTGATTTGGGGGTATGAAGGGTGGGAACGAATCTTGAGTCTTCAGAATGGTTTGAATGGCCAGAATCTCCTCTTATGAATGTGGGGTTGAGATTGAATGGTATAAGTGGTCGTTGGTCAGCCTTTCCTTTGAGAACCAAGTAATTGAATCCGAATATGGCAAGTTCTTTCATGATGATATCTTCTTGGTTTTGAGTTGGTTTGATGGGGTTAATGACTTGGTTTGGTGGTCTTCCTTCTTTGGTAACTCCTTGGGACGCCAAATAATATGGTTTGACATAAGGTAAGGTCGAGCTTTCCTTAAGTAGTCTTGATAATGCATATGTAGGTCCATTCATGCAATTTGGTGGTTTGGGCGGTTTAGCTTGATCCTCTTCCAATTTAAACTGAACCAAGGGTGGTTTGTCTTGTATAATATGTCCTCCTTGATGTATATATCCTCCTTGGTTCGTCACATATTGTGGTAAGTCTTTATCTCCTTGATAAACAGCTACATGTCTCCTTTGCTCCTTATCTACAAGCTTGGCCCCTTCAGGTTTAGCTTCAAGGCTCCTTCTCTTGACTGGTTCAGTGGTGTATGGTTTGATGCTTACATTATCGGGGGACGAGGCATGTTCTAACATCAATGATGATTTGTTCAATTAAACAATCATTCGCGACTAAATAGAATGTTTGATTATGCAAGATATTGAATTCGATTAAAACCTATATGAATCATTTGGCGACTTTGTAATCAAAATCTGTATACAGAGTTACATTGAATATTTTTTTTATTACACAGTTTGAACCTTTGCATATACATCAGATAAATCATACACATATACATTGATATACAGTACAAAAAAATAACAATTCCTGAATACATAAAGAATTTGCTAAATTTCATAAAATTCAATACGTTTTCGTGTTGCTAAAATGTGATTTTGCTTCTTTTTTCTTATCATTCAGAACATATATTAAGTTTTCATGTTTTAATTTTTTTGGAATGCTTTTCTATTATACTTTGAGAGTATTAAAAAAATATAACTAAGAATAAAATGCCATTGATCTGATAAACAGTTTTTTCTTAGCATTTTACGTTTATTCTGCTCATAAATTTCTATTAAGCTTAAAGGTTTTTTTTCCAAAATTGTGGCTCATTTGTCGAATAGCTGTTTGGCGAACTATATATTTGTATAAATTTCTATAAATTAATAAATTTAGATGATAGATATGTGATTTTATTCTCGTTATAGATACATCAAAGTTTTATACCGAAATAGAGAAGCAATAGAAATTTTTTTTGTAATTTTTCTTTTTCTATTTTCAGAACAATGAAATAGCTGTTTGTAGTTGTCTTTTCCATACATTAAGACCTCTATTAAAATGAAAATCATAATGCCTATTTCCCCGAACAATAGCAATGGCATACATGTTTCTTTCCAAAAAGTTTGCAAAAACCTCCTCTCTCACACCCTTCAACGCAAAATTTCCAGCATTTTCCATCATTGTCAGGATTATCATCGATGCCTGGAAGACATCTTCCAACGTCCGGATGTTCTCTACAACATATCGATTTATATTCATATACCCACGGTGCAATGTTTTCTTTCCCGTTTATTTTGTTGGATCCTGCATTTAACATATGTACAATATGATTGTTAATCTCCAACTTTTTTCAAAACTTGAGACAAAGGTTAATGTTTAATAATAAACACTGGAAGAAAACATACCTATACATAGCATGAGAGCCACAAATAAAACGAAAGAAACAACCTTTGTTCTTAGCATCTTTGTTCTTCTTTTTGGTTTACTATATCAAATTACTATTAATTATATTGTTATGTTTTGTTTTCTTTGAATGAGAACAAAACAAAAGAAGTGTTTCATATTTATAGTCAGAATTATAATTAAGGGTTCATCTGAATGGAACATTAGAAAATTTTATTATTCAACCAAATTAAATGTATTTCCAAAAAAGTTAGTCTCCCCTTACTCATACCTTATAAAGCCCCGTACTTATTGTCTGTTTTACCCTCAGTGTTATTCTTTGCTTACCTTGTTTATGATGCTGTCAATTATTTGGTTTAATCTGAAGTTTTTTTGCTTTGAAATTTGAATGTCAATCAAAAGACCAGTTTTGTCTCTGTATAATTTTCTAATAAGCTGAATCTCATATTTTCTATTGATAACATGTTTTGACACATCTTTTATTTTTGCGTATTCATGTTCAACGTGTGTTTGGTTGCCAATTAGGATCATAGTTGATTCAAATATGTACAAAGAGCGAAGTTGAATGGATATGATACATATAAAACTGAAACGAAGAGTTTGAAGAGTACTGAATTATATTACATTTACCCGATTTTTCACTAAAGATCGAACCTTATGCATCTTTATCTCATTTTACGACAAAAAAAAGAGAGAGAGGGATAAATAGAAAAGAAAGTAAGACATTCTAAACAGTTCGATGGACTTTAGTAGCTAAAGAGTATTCACGGTCTTCTAAAAACTACTAATGGAACGTACTTGAAGACTTAGTATTTCCCCACATTGTTAAAATGCTTTTTCTCTAATCTGTTTGCCACAAACCAAACAAAAACAAAAGGTTACCAATTGATTATTATCTCAATAAAGATACTGTAAGCATATTTTTTGCAACAAAATAAAATGTTTGATTATGCAATATCAAAATGATCAAGATATATATAGTATTTGAGGAAAATCTATGAATCATTTGGCAACTTTAATTATAATCAAAATATGTACACCATAATTAAGTTGTTACATATAAGAATAATTGTTAGTTAGACATCGTATGTAGCTTGAAGCTTCGTACATACATGCAAAAAGTAAATTGGATGTGGATCATACATGCATGTACACATTGATACACAATAGAAATAAATTCCCAAAAAAATTCTGAAATACATAAATAATTTCCCAAATTTCAGATATAAAAATCATTAGAACATATACGTGTTCATGTTTTAAAAATGCAAATTTACTATTTTTAATCATCCAGAATATTTATCAAGTTTTCATGTTTTTGAAAAATAATGATGCTATACCTTGAAAATGTTTTAAGATATATATATATATATATATATAGGAGAATTAAAATGCCACTGATCTGATAAAATAGTTTTTCTTTGCATATTATCTTTATTCTACTCATAAATTTATATTCAAGTGTTTTTTTTTCTTTTCAAAATTTTGGATCATTTGTCGATTTTGCTGTTTAACTATTTATATTTGTATGAACTTCTAGAAAATTTTTTTTTTAGATGATAGATATGTCATAATATATTCCCATTATAGATAATTCAAAATTTAATACCAAAATGAAGAGAATATATATAGTCGTATATAATTCTCTTTCCCATGCATTATACTTAGGACCTCTATAAAAGAAAAATTATGATGCCTAACAATAGCAATGACATACATGTTTCTTTTCAAAAAGTTTGCAAAAACCTCCTTTAGTGCACTCTTCGACACAAAATTTCCAGCATTTTCCATCTTTGTAAGGACTATCATCGTCCAAGTTTCCAATGTTCTCTACAACATATCAGACTTCATATCATATACCCACGGTGCAATGCTTTCCCACGGTCCAGTGGTTCCCCATGGTTCAGTGTTTTCTTTCCCATCTATTTTGTTGGATCCTGCATATTTAACATACGTTTAATATGATTGTTAATCTCAAATTTTTACTGAACTTTAGACAAAGCCTAATGTTTAGTAATAAACACTAGAAGAAAACATGCCTATACATAGCACAAGAGCCACAAATAAAACGAAAGAAACAACTTTTATTCTTATAGCATCTTTCTCCTTTTTTTTGTTTATGTTATATCAAAACAATACCAATTGTTTAATATTTATTCTTCTTTGAATGAAAACAAAACAAAACAGGTGTGTCATATTTATAGTCAGAATTATAACTAAACGTTCATTTGAATGGAACATTATTAACTTTTATTATTCAACAAAATAAATGTATTTCCAAACAAATTGGTCTCGCCCTTAATTATACTCATACCTTATAAAGTCCCCCATTCATAAACTAGCTTTTGGGTGGTATTATATGGGTCTATCATGAGATAGGCTTCAGCCAATTTTTGAATTCCTTGATAGTTAGCATTAACTAAAACATATTTAATTATCCCTTTCTATAAAAAAAAACTAAAACATATTTAGATACACATTTTTCATCAAACTTTGGTGTAATATATGGAGTAGTTTGATTAACCGTGAAGAACAAGCCATATCAGTGAACCCACAAGCCTTTGAATGGAAACGACAAGTCAGAGTTTTTGAGAACCTCTTCACTAAGCTTATAAATATGATGGAATTTAGAGAGTAGACCAGGAAAACATCCCAATAAACCAGCCATCTCCTTAGGAAACAGATACGAGGTTTCTTCAAGTTGAAGAAATGATGGATGATAAAAACAAAAGATGGCTAAAGAAGCTTCGCATAAGTTTATTGAAGCCATTGGAGAGGAATTTGGTTTATAAAACTTCACTTACGTCATATTATGTGCATATTGTTCTATTAGTCTCTTCTCTTTTAATGAACACTCTTATATTTAAAGCTTTTAATGAACAGACACATCAGTAGAGAGAAAGACGTAAGAGACAATGGTTGGGTTAGACAGAAAAGTATTAAATACACGTGCAATTACAAATATTTAGCAATTGCTTCGTTTGAGCACAATGGAGACTTTAGTCTTGTCAAAAACCATCTGACAATTTTTCATTAAAGTAGATTCGGAACAACCGGCGAGACAGTTGAGCACAAGGTGCTCTTGCAACCATCTTTCATAAAAGTAAAAACCTCCCAACTGTACCACCATCGTTTCTAATGACTTTTCGTTTCTCAGGATGAATTCCATGAACGAAGGCAAGAGTTGCCAATCCAATATCGAAACGATGTAATATGAGATAGGAAAGCAACCATACATCGAACTCCAATACTCATCAAAATAGCTTGCAAGATGCTGATCCTGTAGAACATAAAAAAATGTACCAAGGAAACTATAATTTATTTAATCCTATAGAGATTAGCGCAAAAAAAATGAAAGACATGGTTGTCGGAATGTTAGTTTGCATGGTCTTATTATATACAAGAAAATAAAACCATTGTGTTGTAAAAAAAATACCATTGTGTTGTCTTTGTCCATTGTGTGTACTATTAGCTTCTTTAACTGAGGTAAATTTTGTAGTAACCTTGCTATACCAGGAGCAACAGAGCGAACAAACTTCGTTTTAACAATCAAAGTTTGGACTTTGAGAACTCCGAATGGAACACCACAGAGCTCGGCAAGAGATAGAACCTAACAAATCAATTGAAAAGGGAAAAGATATGACAGATAAGTTAAGCATAACAAGAACAATATTTGTAAAAATTTACTTAGCAAGTTCATGTTTCAAGGCGTTGATAGTGCATGACTCTTGCGACTTAGAAATTTTTAGCCCTTAAGATATTGCAAGAACGAACAAACATACCTGAAGAACTGTTACCCCAACAACAAGCCTCTCTACATTCGGAAATTTTGCTAGTAACCCTGTCACCATGGAATGAGGATAGTCAGCCTTCTCATAATACTTCATCTTAACACGAATGTTAAGATCAGCTTCGGTCAAAGAAGACACATCCACTAAAGTAAATGGTTTCTCAAAGATTTTCAATTTCAAATAATGGATCTGTGGCGCTACAATCTCGCTTGGTCCTGTATTCCAATAGCTGCGATCTATCTCCAGTCTTTTCAGACTCAGTGACTTACTCAAGTCAAGACGCCTAGGTAAATGACACTGATACAATGCCAAGCTTTCGAGATTTGGACAACCAGATAGAATCTTTTCAATGGAATTAACTCTAAGCTTACAAGTACGTAGTGATAGGTTCGTTAGGTGTTTCCAAGACACTGTGCATGTGGGAAGCATTTCTTTATCTATCAATTTTACGCTGAGTTGCTTTATAGAGGCGCTAAGATAGAAAAACTTCGGGAAAATATATCTAGTCTCCTGATGATCGAAGGCCACAGACAGATTCTGCACATTACGGGACATAGCGAACTTGATCCAGCTATCAATATCTAGTGCAGTGTGATTACGGCTCAAACGAAGATGGAAACTCATGATTTTGGGAGCCGTGAAGTAAGTTAGGGTTTGATTTATCTCTAGAGCCGTCGGTGGTAAGTCTTCGATGTAGAGAGAGGTTGTCTGGCGCCATAGATGACTCCATCGTTTTGACAAGACAGAAGTTCTGATGGCCCAAATGGTGGGAATAAAGGAGAAGATTTGGTGGAGGATATCATCTGGCATAGAGCTGATGATATCTTCTCTTGGTTGTCTGATTTTCCGGCAGCGACGAATAGGTTTCTTACGACGTTGCCGGTGGCGCCGTCTCCCTTGCCCATCCGCCATGGTAACTATGAATTGCAAAACAACTTTTAGGGTTTTGCTTTTGGTTTGTTTAGGGAGCACGTTTCTTATAAAAATAATGTGAGTGGGCTCCTGCCTTTTTCATCAATGGGTTTATGATGGGTCTATATGTTTGACACAAACCCAATAGAGATATCTCGTCGCCTCTAAACCTAATCAAATCTGTCTTCTCTTCCATAGTGTGGTAAGATAACTAATCGTCGTCTCTTTATAACAAAATCTAGATAAGATATCTGCCTTTTTTTTTTAGGTTCATAATTTATAAATTATCGAAATGGATTTACAGAAATGAGTTTTTAATAAAAAAGTCTGTATAATAATATAACGCATCGTTTTCTCTTATTTGAATTTGTTAATAAAATTAATTATATATCGTTAAGATAAACCAATTAATTCTAAAAACAACCAACTGTTAGAAAACGAACACATTTACATAAGATCTTTTACTTCACAACCTTTCATTTATCACTCGTTTGATTTTCGATAGACATAAAAAAGAAAACAGAGCAAGAAAATAAGAGGAGTAGAGCCGATTCTGAAATTGATTTTTTTTATAAAAACCGTAATCTACAGAAAAAGACTGTTTTATAAAAACAAAATTAAAAATAAGTTGTTTTTATTTATAATTTTTTTATGTAAAATATAAGAGCGGCAAGCTCATACTTGATCTGCTTATGTTCAGAGCCGACTCTAAAAATAGCATATAGAACTTGTTAATTCAGTTCAATTCATCGGCGTGATGGAGTTTATGATTACAACTCAAAGCCTAAGCAACAACTCAACAACAAGCTTTCAAAATGTCTCGGCTCTCTTTCACCCACCAGTTAAAACAAAGAAGAAGACATAACAGAGTGTTTATACTCAATAAAGGAAAGACTCTATCGCGACCAGAGGTTTCACTTCACCCTTCTCTTCTCAAAACGCAGAGTTTCAGTAAACCAGCTTTCTCAGTTTTAAGTTAACGCCAAAACCTGCAACACCTTGAAATTGAATCACACAAGCTTATCAAAAAGTAATAACATTTTGATAAATTTTAACTAATATTAAATAATTATTTACTGATATATGAATATAAAGATTCTTGTTCTTTGCTTCTTATTTTCATGTTAATCGTTGTATTTGAGCTAATATTTCTTCCCGGTTTCCTTGTTTATCTGCTATCATCCATCTCTGGTTGAAGGTTCGGCTGCGTCTTGTCTAGAGTTTCTGTAACTACGCTTTGTATTTTATCTTATATTTTATTCTGGTTCATTTCATGGTTAATCAAATATCGGATGACAAAAAAAAAAAAGCCTTCTATCAAACACTTATATCTGGAACATTGGTGTAATTGGAAAAGTTTGATCAACCATGAAAAAGCAATCTTGTATTTCATTCTGGTTCAAAATGAGTGGGAACTAGCACAAGAAAAGTACTAATACAGGTGCAATAATATACGTCTCTATAAAATACAGGTGCAATTCTTTGTTTTATAATTTTGTCAAACCGAAACTCAAATAATAAATAACAGCAAAAAAAATTAAAATTTCTAACTATGTGCTTGCTTGATAGAGACGTATATGATTGAAGAAAGTGTAGACTCATCATCAACTATACTTCCATAACAACAATGCAAAAAGCGTTATGTTATAAAAAGCTCACACATTATCAAAAATTTGAACCAATAAAAACATAACAATAATACATATTATTAACATACTTATAAAAATCAGTTTACTATTTTGCTGATCCATTAAAAAGCCCAAAGTTTACAAAAAAAATGGAAGTCGAAAGCAAATGAGGAGAAACTCAGACCACCACAGGTTGGAGATTCGCATTTCTAGTGGTTACCGAGAATAAATTTTCTTGGGTTTGGCGGGAATAGAGAATTTCTTGGTTTTGGTAGAAAAATATGATTTTCAGTTTGGTAGGAAAACATAATTTTTCGGTTATGGCGGAAAAAAACGAATTCTCGGGTTTGGTGAAAAAATGTGAATTTTTGGTTTTGGTGAGAAAAAAAAAAATTGATTTTGACAAGAAAATACGAGGGAAATGCAACTTTTCAATTTTGACGAAAAATACGATTTTTCGGTTTTGATAGAAAATGAAATTTTTCGGCTTTTGATGGATAATGTAATTTCTTGATTTTCGCGAAAAATTGTAATTTGATAATTTTGGCAAAAAATGCAATTTCTCGGGTTGATAGAGAACAAAAATTCTCGATTTTGGTGGGAATAAACAATTCCTTGGTTTTGATGGGAAATACAAATTTTCAGTTTTTGACATATAATTTGATTTTTTTGGTTTTCGAGAGAAAATATGATTTCTTAGTTTTCGCGAAAAACGCAATTTCTCAGGAGATAATGCAATTTTTGGTTTTCACGGGAAATTGTAGTTTATCGGTTTTGGTAGGAAGGTGTGATTCTTGATTTGACAAGAAAATTAACTTTTTCATGTTTTGGTGGGAATAGATGATTTATCGATTTTTGTGAAAAAATAATTTTTTTGGTTTTGACGGGAAAATACTATTTTTTTGTTTTTGCAAGAAGATGAAATTTTTTGGTTTTTGTGAAAAAACTTGATTTCTCTGTTTTGATGGGAAAACACATGTTCTCGCGGAAAAATGTGATTTTTTTTTTTTTTTTGAGGAAAAATGCAATTTCTTTGTTTTGGTAGAAAAATGAAATTTCAAGTTTGATGAGAAAATGATTTTTTTTTGGTTTTGGCAGGAATAGGCGATTTATCAGTTTCGTGGGAAAATAATTTTTTTTTGTTTTGTCAGAAAATGCAATTTCTCGATTTTTGTAAAAAGATAAAATTTCTCTGTACTAAGTTTTCAAGTTACGATATGTTTATACTAACCAAAACTGAATTATTTAACTTCAAGTAAATTGATATTTCAACAGTTCAAATAGAACTTGCTATTTAGTTCTAAAGTAATAGTAATGATTTTGATATGAATGTTATTGATTATAGTTTGGTAGTTTTAGAAGCATATGTTTATAATAAAAATTTGATAAATAAATAAATTTTATAATATATAATAATCATATTAATTAATATTTTTATAAATGGCAATTTGCTTTATATAATTTAAAAGGAGGATCAAGTAGCAATTTAGTAGAGAAAATAAATTATATTTACTATTAGCATGAAGGTACTTAAAAATGTATTGTTTTATTCTTACATATACATTTACAGATAGTTAGCTAAACAAATTTGATAGTAGATTATAATTTTAAAAAATAAAAAAATTAATAATATATATAATGTTTATTCAAATTTAAAATATATAAATACATAACTTAAGCTAATAAAAAATAAATATAATACTCATTTACATTATAGAAATAATTTTATTATATTAAAAATATATATAAATCTAGAAAAATATCCGTCAGCGTAGTACGAGTAAATACTTAGTTGTATTAAAAGTTCAAAAACAAAAATTGTTTAGCAATTGTTCCGTCCGAGCATAATATAGGAGACGTTAGTGTTGTGAGAAAGTGTTGGAATCAACTGACCCAGCTTTCTAAGCCATTTTTTTACTGAAGTAACCTCCGAACAGTACAACCATCGTCTCTAGTGTCTTTGCGTTTGTCAGCACCAATTCCATGAACAAAGCCACAAATATCCTCTTTGAATCTTTATAACGCAACCATGAATCACATGAGGTAGGAAAGACATGATATTTTGATTCGCAAAATGGATCCAAATACGTTGCAAGATGCTGATCTTGTAGAACATAGTAAAGATGTATAAAGGCAACTATAACTTATTTACACAGTTTTTTTTCCTCGATTCTACCAAAATATCAAATCATATAGAGAAATTAGCGCAAAAAAAAAGTGAAAGGCAAGGTTCTTGGAATGTTAGTTTGCATGGTCTTATTATATACAAGAAAATAAAAGAGGGTTCTAGTAAAAATTACCATTGTGTTATCTTTGTCCATTGTGTGTACTATTAGCTTCTTTAACTGAGGTGAATTCTGTAGTAACCTTGCAATACCAGGAACAATAGATCGAACAAACTCCGTTTTAACAACCAAAGTTTGCACTTTGAGCAGTTGGAAAGGAACATCGTTGAGCTCACGAAGAGATAGAATCTAACAAATCAATTGAAAAAAATGACAAAAAAGTTAAGCATAACAAGAACTATATTTACCAAAAACTACTTTGAGATAGTTTAATCATCAAACAAACAGAGACTCTCGTGACTTAGAAAGTTTTAGAGAATGCAAGAATTATAGTGCATCTCCAATGAGATGCTATTGTTGCCTCTAAATTCTAATTTTTAGAGTAAAATCATCTCTAATGATATTTAAAATCTTACTTTAAAAATAGAATAAATCATTGGAACTGATCTTAAAAACATACCTGAAGAACGGTTGCCCCAACGGCAAGCCTCTTTACATTCTGCAGTTTAGCTAGTAACTCTAGCACCATGGTTTGAAGAATATGATGACCAACATCGTACGTTTTAATGCGAATGTCAAGGTTAGCTTCGGTCAAAGAAGAGACATCCACTAAAGTACATAGTTCTTGACTTAGTTTCAATTTCAAATAATGGATTTGTGGCGCTACGATCTCGCTTGGTCCTTTAGAAATCCCATCGCTGCGATACATCTCCAGTCTTATGAGACTCAATGACTTACTAAGGTCAAGACGCTGAGGTAAAATACATTCATACAATGACAAGCTCTCGAGATTCGGACAACCAGAGAGAATCTTTGCAATGGAATCATCTTTGAGTCTGTATCTACGTACTGATAGGTTCCTTAGGTGTTTCCAAGACACTGTGCATCCAAGAACCATATCTACACTTCTCGACTCTACGCTGAGTTGCTTTATAGAAGAGATAAGGAAGAATGACTCAGGGAAACTATAATTGGTCCTGTGATGATCGAAGAACACCGACAGATTCTGCACATTGCGTCAGTGATCAATCTGTGGTGCAGTGTGATTACGGCTCAAACGAAGATAAAAACTCATGATTTTGGGAGCCGTGAAGTAATTTAGGGTTTGGTTTATCTCTAGAGCCGTCTTTGGAATGTCTTCGATGTAGAGAGAAGTTATCTCGCGCCATACATGCCTCCATCGTTTTGACAATACAGAAGTTCTGATGGCGCAGACGGTGGGAGTAAAGGATAATATTTGGTGGAGGATATCATCTGGCATAAAGCTGATCAATTCTTTTCTTGGATGTTTGATTTTCCGGCGGAGGTGTCTAGGTATGTAACGGAGTTCCCGGCGGCGCCGTCTCTCTTCCCCACCCGCCATGTTAACCATGATTTGCAAAAAAAAAAAAGGTTTAGGGCTTTGTTGTTGGTTTGTTTAGGGAACACGATTCCTTTTAGTAGGCTCCTGCCTTTTTCATCAATGGGTTTACAATGGGCTTCGCTACAAGCCCATTAGAGATAACTCGTCGCCTCTTTATAATCTTTCTTTCTCTCTGCTTCACCGCGAATCTGAAACCTTAGAAAGAGTTCTCGAGTTCCGCCATGGATTCCGTCGAATTGAATAACAATTACAACCCTTCTTCGCATGCCCTAGATCAACCTTCTCCTTCCTCTGAAGCCCTAGATTCCTCCACTGCTTCGGATCAACTAAACCCTCAGATTTCGGCTTCTGAGTTCCTGCGTACTTTGCTATCGGAGAAGGACGTTAGCAAGAAGGATAAATCCGACGGAGAGGAGAACACCACAAGCCGGACGAGGAAGCGTCGAAGCCGGTGGGACTCTCCGCCGAAGCGTAAATCGAGATGGACGGATGATGAGCCGAAGCCGATAATCAATCTCCCCGATTTCATGGAGTTCGATCCCGAGGTTCAGGCATTGAATATCAGGTTACTTGAAATCAGTAGGATTCTGCAATCTGGGTTGCCTTTGGATGATAGAGAAGAAGGACTTAGGTCTCCTTCACCAGAGCCAATCTACGATAACAATGGAATTAGGATAAACACAAGGGAGTACAGAGCAAAAGAGAGATTGAATAGAGAAAGACAAGAAATCATCTCTCAGATTATCAGCAAGAACCCTTCGTTTAAACCCCCTGCGGATTATAGGCCTCCCAGGCTACAGAAGAAGCTTTTCATCCCGAAGAATGAGTTTCCAGGTTACAGCTTCATTGGTCTCATTATTGGTCCCAGGGGCAATACACAGAAGAGGATGCAGAAGGAAACAGGTGCTAAGATTGTGGTTCGTGGTAAAGGGTCGATGAAAGAAGGTAGGCACCAGCAGAAGAAGTACGATCCTTCGGAAGATGAGGACTTGCATGTTTTGGTCGAGGCTGAGACTCAGGAAGCTCTTGACGCTGCTGCTGGTATGATTGAGAAGCTTCTTCAACCTGTTGACGAGGTGCTGAACGAGCACAAGAGGCAACAGCTCAGGGAGCTTGCCACCTTGAATGGAACTATAAGGGATGAAGAGTTCTGTAGAAAGTGTGGTGAGCCAGGGCATAGACAGTATGCGTGTCCGTCGAGTATGAATACGTTTAAGAGTGATGTTCTTTGCAAGATTTGTGGTGATGGAGGACACCCTACGATTGATTGTCCAGTGAAAGGTACCACTGGGAAGAAAATGGATGATGAGTATCAGAACTTTTTGGCAGAGTTAGGAGGAACTGTACCTGAATCTTCTCTCAAACAGAGTACTACATTGGCTCTTGGTCCGGGAAGTAATCCTCCATGGGGTAACAATGGTGGCTTAGGGTCAAGTCCCACAAAACCCTCCAAAGAATATGACGAAACGAATCTGTACATTGGGTTTTTACCTACGAGGCTTGATGACGATGGTTTGATCAATCTTTTTTCATCCTTTGGTGAGATTGTGATGGCAAAGGTAATCAAGGACCATGGTTCTGGTCTGAGCAGAGGCTATGGCTTTGTGAAGTACTCTGATGTCAAGATGGCTAACACTGCTGCACAGGCAATGAATGGATATAGGTTAGAAGGTAAAACACTTGCTGTCAGGATCGCAGGGAAACAGCCACCGCCTAGTTCACCTCAGCCACAAACTCAAGCTTATCCTCCTTCAAACCAGCTGCATGGTGCTTATCCTTCACAACAGTATGCCAGTGGTGGGCAATTTTCAAATCATCCTCCTCATGTTGCTTCCTATTATCCTCCTCCTGGTTCGTACCATCCTGTACCTGGTCAACATATGTCTCCGTATGGAACGCACTACCCATTGCCTCCTCCACCTGGCACTGCCCCGTCTGCTAGTGAGAGCCAGCAAAGCTTCCCACCATCTGTGCCACCAAATGTCTATGTTAGCTCAGTTACAGGTTTTCCTGGACAGCATCCATATATGAGTTATCCATCTTATTCACAAGGCATGGGTGACATGACATGGGCCAACAATCCCCCTGTGTCAACATCTGATCATTCACAAGGTCTAGGTAATGCACCTTGGTCATCTTATCCTCCTGTGCCCACTGTTGACTACTCACAGAGAATGGGGAACGTACCTTGGACTCCCACGCCTCCAGTACAGCCACCTGCAGAGAATCCATCTTCTGTTGTAGATTCTAAGTATGAGAAGTTCATGGCTGAGATGAAGTAGCATGTGTGTTCTGAGGAGAAACTCCTTAGAGGATAGGTAACTCCTGATGTTTTTCTGTCCCACCGTTGTTTTCTGTTTTTCTATTTGACAAGATTTAAAAAGTTTGTCTTTGTTATTGTACACGGCTCACTAACACAAGTCTTTGTTTTGTTTGCCACTGCTAATTTTTTTCAGATGTGGAGTTTCTTGGAGTTCTTGTACCCTGATTTCTTACATCTTTTCTGGTTGGAATTTTTGTGACTCACGTCTTCACTAACCTTTGCTATGATGTTGTGAAATATGCATAGATTCATGCTGGAAGCTCCCAGTTCATACAATTGCGTTTTAGAAAGGCCATAACGTATTTTGTTACTGATCATAGTTGGTACTCTTTTGTAGTACTACATTTTTGTCTCGAATCTTGTTTTATTTCATAATACTCTTGTTTTGCCATTGACCAGTGTGTTAAATCTGTCTTCCGCTCTCATTTACTAACAATTTCAACTTGGGACTAAATTTTTTGCCATATCGTAACTTATCTATAATCCTTTGCGATGCTGATCCTCTTGCTCTTGAGGTTTTCTCTGTTGCTTAGCTCGTCTCTTGCGTGCATAGGGAATTCACCAGTTTCGCAGGAACACAGGCAACAGGTTATTATTATGTTGAGCATATTGAAGCAATACTCTGATCGTTATTCCCCACCTTGGTTCAATCTTATATACTGTGATCTCTCTAATTCAATTTCTTGGTAAGTTGCTTACTCTATAACTGGTGGTGTGGTGTGGTGTCGTCTTATAACAACTAGGGATATTTGCCATGGAGCGTTAGCATCGTGTGGAGAAGTTTGCTACTCTGCTTTGACCACTCAGCTCTACCTTTTTTTGTTCGGTTTCTTACAAATCGAGAGCCTCTGTCTGAAGTAACGGTGTTGGCGTATATCTTCACTTGTCTTGTTTGATTTAGTATACTGGTTAGGCAAAAGGATCGAGTGAATCGTTGCCAAAAAGGGAACCAACCTGATGCAAGAGACTATTTTTGCTAGCTTCATACAAGTTTTACGTAGTTTTTGTTTCCAACAAAGCTTTCATTGGGACCTCTATTAATTGCATAACCAAAATGAAAAACCCAAATTCTTTGATTTAGCTCAAATTAAATTCCAAATATTCAATTTAACAGTTTCTGCAAAGGATACAGTTACATAAAGAACAAAGCTCATAACAGATGTTATTTATAGTTGAAGAAGAATATTCACAGAATCACAGGAAGAAGAAAGTAGACAAAGTACAATAGTAGAACCAACCAAAGTTGTAGTTTCGGAAATTAAAACACAAACGATTCTAATCATCTTCAAAGTAGAGCTTTGTTATTTTTTTGTTTCTCTAGAAGCTTCTACAAACTCTTTTCACCGGGGCTGATAGATGTGGTGGTTCCGGCGACAATTGAAGTTCGGGTTCGTGTACTTGCTCGTCTTCTTCTGGTTATACTTTGGTGAACAAGAAGACATCGACACATTTGATCCGTGAATCTTCCTTTTCGTAGATTTCGCCATACTCAGAAGCACCTTCAAGTACCTAGCAACATCTGATTCTGGCAGAGAAAATACTTGTGAGAAACTAACAAATTTGATCAAATACTAAACGTATATGCCTTTAAAAACTCATTTGCCCCAGATCTGAAATTAGAATCCCTAAACTTCTTCGAATTTGAATAATATCTTGCGAACGTATCAAAAAGTGAGTGTATTTGACGTTACCGGTCATCGTAGAACCACCGATCTCAGCCTCATCGGACGAAATGATCATCTCCTCGAACTCTTCCTCCATATCTGATAACTCGCCGGCGCCTATGACTTCATAGTCGGAGTTGGCACTGAGCCAAAAGTCACGGAACCACTTGGAAGTCGTCACCAGCTCCCACCACTTGGGCGAGAAATCCTCAACCTCACGGAATCCCACCGGATCGAACACCGGCGCGTTTGGATTCAGCGTCGACACGCTCCGATCTACCATCGCTGACATCTTCCACCTCAAATCACAACTGCTACAGGATCAGAACTCAGAAACCTAAATATACGATTACAAAGTAAAGAAACTAAAATCGTAGTTTATATACCTCTTGCCGATTAATGAGTCAAACTGAATCTTTAAAGCGAGTCACTGGAACACTGTCTTTTGAAATTAGGATGAGGAAGGATCATGGTACGTTTTTAAAAGAAGAGAACGTGAGTTACCGGATATATCGGTAAGAGTTACCGGCACGTGTGAAATAATGGATGACGATCCGACGGTCATAAACGGTAAGATAGTGATCTGACGGTGTCTATGCGCATAATAATTGGATGTACGCTGGTTGGTTACTGGGTAAGATATTTCTTTTTCTTATTTCTTGTTTTGGATAAACGGAAGGTAAGTAGGAAATTTCTAGAACATAGGCCAAAAGCCCAATAGGGAAAATAAAATAAAGACAATCCTAATTTGAATTTTAAGATACTAAATTTTTATCTGTGCAACTTATTCGTTTTTTATTAAAATTTTATATATTTATATATATTATATTAAATTAATATTATTGTATGTTATGTTTGTTTTTTTTAAATATTTTTGTTGTCCTAATATATATCTATATTGTAAAATTATTTTTCTAATATAGATTATCATATATTAATTATTATATTCTCACTGTTTATCTGTATTCAATTGATTTCTTATCTTTTTCTGCATCTTCTTTTCATAGATCAATAAAGTGAAATCATCATTGATCTTTCTCCATTCTAAACTAAATGTTCCTTTAATTTTTTAGGGAATCTATCTTATTTTCAAGCACAATTAGTCCTTTATTTTTCCCCTTTTCTTATATCTCTTAGTCTCGCTATTCTGATTGTAATCTACTGATTTTTCTCTTATTTCATGCAAGCTTCCATCTCATCCAGTTATGTGATCGGTTATAACTTTAAATGAGGAGAATTTTAGTTAGAGTTGGCTAGACAGAGCAAAAGATCTGTTCAAATACTATATATGTTTAATGTGTTTTTATATCAAAAAATTATGCATAGTTGATAAATTGTTGATTTTAATTGATGTGAGGCGGGTTTTTTTCAGTGATGAACTACAGAACTATATTTGTAAATGTGTGAGAATATTTTTGTTTATTTTCATATCATGTGAATGTAAACAATATGACTATCTTAAAAAGTATAATCAATAATCTTGTTTTAGTTTATTTATATATTTTAAATTAAAACTTATATATTATCCGGTTGATGAGTAATGTGATCGCATATCAATTTTATATTACTATCATTAAGAAAAATGGTTGATAAGTATTTACCATTTTTTCCTCCTTCGTATAAATCAAATTTATTTCTATGCTATATAATTACACACTTTATTTTTCTTTATTTATGAAAAAGTTTCATTCATTTTATACAGTAAAGTGGATATGAATTATTTTACTTTAGTTTTAAGCATTAATATTTTAGAGCATTTTTAAATAAGTTTGATAACTATTCTCAGCAAGTTCTTCTACCATATTTTGTAATTGTTCATTTTCCAACTCTTTTTTTCAAATTATGTTTGTTTATATTCTAAATAACTTTTTGAAATTTTTATTTCAAAGAGAATTTGTAGTTTTTATAATTTATAAAATAAGTCTCTGTTTAATATATATATGATTTTACTTTAGCTTTATATATAAATCTTTCTAAGGTTTTTTTTATAAAGTTTGATAATCATTTTCTTTTTTCTGTAAGTTTTTCGAATAAATTCTTCCAAACTCCTTTTCACAAAATGGAGAATTTGTAATTTTTATGATTTGTAAAATAAATATTTGTTTTTATTTCAAATTAATCATATTAAAAGTCCAAAAATAAATACCCAAAATTTAAAAATAAAATCCAAAATATTTAAAAGTCTATTTTAAAATAAAAATTATATTGATGTAGACACTTTAGATGGAGAGATAACTTGCTCATTAATATAATATGATTGTGTGAATCACTTTTGAGTTTTGAATTCACTATGGATGATGGCAAATTCTCTATTACTCAGTAAACCTTTACTCAATCCATATAAAATGGTGATTAGGTTGTGATGAGAGTATACAAATATACAGAATTGCAACATATAACTGTATAAGAGTATTTTTTATTTATCGTCTCTTACCAAGTATTTTATAATTAAAATATTTTTAAAAATTAGAAGAGAAAAATGAAAAATGTACTTTAGTTGAGAGATGTTGAAACTGTTTCTTAATTTTTGCTATCTTTTTATTAATTCAAATTTTCTAAAATAAAAATTAAATTAGATAAAAAAGATGAAATCAAAATATCAGTTTTTTATTTTTAGATATTTATTTTGAGCATTTATTTTAGTTGGGAGATGTTGAAACTGTTTCTTAAGTTTTCCTATCTTTTTATTAATTCAATTTTTCTAAAATAAAAATTAAATTAGATAAAAAAAATGAAATCAAAATATCAGTTTTTTTATTTTTTAGATATTTATTTTGAGCATTTCATTAATAGAGCTGCTCTAACAATCGATGTACAGTCAGTATAAATATGATGTGATGAGAGTATATAAATAGATTAAAAATGGTTTAGCTTTCATAGTGGTTAAAAGAATTGTCACGATGCCTAACATAGAGGATAATTCTTACTTAAAAGAATTGTCAGGATGCCTATGGAGGATAATTCTTGAATTTATAATACATTAATACATTGTACGATTATTCTTGTTCACAACATAAAGTTATTCTATGTCTTTTTTTTTCGAACAATTGCTTAAGTTACTTATTTTATGTCGAAATACATCGTATGGTTATTCTTTCGATAAAGTTGGTCGTATTATGATTGCTTGCCGCTAGTAATACATTTTGCTTTCAAACTAAGCATATATAAGTATTAGTTTGGTAAAGTGCCTTTTGATTATAATTATCTCAGATATTAAAGGATAAGGATTTGACATTTCCATAATGCATTATTTCAATAACATTATTATACGTCACAACCACATGATAATTCAGTGTCACTGGAAGCCCTTTTAAAACACTTGCCGCTAGGAAGAAATTGTTCCATGCAGTTCTTATTGCAGTCTGCAGGATTCTTCGGGCAAGGACCTAGCACAAAAATTCCATGTCTTTGTGAATCGTCAGCTACAGAAGCTTCTGATTTATTCATAGAAAACAAAAAAAAAGCTCAAATCAATTTTCTAAAAATATGAAGAATAAAATATAATATACAAATAAAATTAATATAATGTACAATACAATAGAATGTATAAATGACATGTAGAAATTGCATTAAATTGAGATATAATAGAATGTATAAATTGACATGGAGTATTATATAGCTTTAAATTGAAGGAAAAAAAAGTTGTTTTCTTTTGTTGCATACCTGGGATTAATAAAACAGTCAGATACAATAACACAAAAAGAAAACATTTGCTCGATGATGCCATTTTGGTTTTTTTTGCGAATAAAATATAACCGAGTACGTAGTTCAACACTTAAGTATACACATATAGATATTTATATTTATGATCTCTTCTTGGGATATTTTTGGTCCACAGCTGTAATCATTTGTATATGCAATTTCCTTTAATATTTGGATTTTGTTGCTAATAAAATGGATTTACTACTATTTATTATTATTTTTTTGGTCAACGTACAGATGTAATCTTTCCTGTAAGACTTTTTCTACAATGTTTGGATTTTCTTTGTTGGCAAAGATATAGTAATATTATTTGGATTCATTTGTATTAATACTGATTTTTTTGTCAGCTTTTCACTAATTTTTATTTATAAAATTTTAACTATTTTATTCTCTCTATATATTGCATGATATATTGTTTTTTTATACGTTGACTATTATTTAAGGTTTTGTGATCATATGCGATATATTCACTCTTCCAATAGAAATTGCGACATGTATTGTGTGTTTGCGATACATTGTTGCGTCGACAGCTATTCTATATCGTAATACATTACATAATATGGTTATTCTCGATCTTGATAAAGTTGATCGTATTATAATGCGAATGGTTAGAGTTAATATTGTAGTATCAATGTGTATTTGTCGTATCTTAATGTATAATAGAAATACTCAAATACGTTATGTGACAAAATTGTGGAATGTCGAGGTTGCTTTCCCTCCTTCATCTTCATGTATACGTTTGATCACAATTGATATCTCTGGATTCCAAATACGATGCATTTGGACACAGTCACCTTCGAAAGGGAAAGCAATCCAACCACACAATCCAACCACAAAATAACTTGTAAGTCGGAGAAAGGAAATATCAGGAAGGGGAATTGAAACCAAACTGTCCAGATCCATCTATCGTTAATTTGTTATCATTGATATGTTGTCGTGGAGTTATAGAATAATTCTAGCTTACTGGTAGTAATACATTTCTATTTCTTGTGATTGTCTATGTGATATTATTAAAATCTTTATAAATTAATACTTAAAATTTATAAAATTTTGATTAATTTATAATGATTATTAATTTATAGATATATTATTTGGTTGATAAATTACTTTTAAGATTGACAAAAAAATATTAAGTTATCGAGGTATTAATGAATCGAGTATTAATTTATAGAAATTATACTATATTTGTAGCATCCATATCCGCGAAAATTTAAAATGATCGAGACAGAACATGACATTGTCCGACGGATGATCGAGTCAAGGTTCAAATATTGGCTAAGAACAGGGAGGTTAAGACTATGGTCGAGTGATGACTGGAAAATAGTCAATGGATGGCTGGGATAGCCGAACAGGATGAAACATATCCGAGAGAAAATGGTCCAGTCTGTGAGAAAACGGGCTTAGTCCGAGTGAGAGTGGACTGTGTCCGGAGAAAAGGAAACTCTCCGAAAGAAAAATAAAAATTAGTCGAGGTAGTGTGATTTATCCGAGAGAGAATGGGAAAATAACAGGACATAAGGGAGATAACTCGGATAAATGCGGTTTATCCAAGAAAAAACGAAATAGCCGAGGGAAGCTGGGCTAGGCCGT